GCAAAGGCAAGTGGACGAGTTGCTTGGCAAAGGATGGGCACGTGAGAGTTTAAGCCCGTGTGCTGTTCCAGTCATTCTGGTGCCCAAGAAAGATGGTACGTGGAGAATGTGTACTGATTGCAGAGCCGTAAATACCATCACGGTAAAGTATCGCCACCCTATACCTCGCTTAGATGACATGCTTGAGGAGTTACATGGGGCTGTGTTCTTTACCAAAATTGATCTCAACACCAAGGTCTGTGGGTGATGTTCGAAACTTCCATGGCCTTGCGGGTTTCTATAGGAGATTCGTGAGGGACTTTAGCACTATTGTTGCACCTTTGACTGAGTTGATCAAGAAGAATGAGAACTTCCATTGGGGAGATTTTCAAGAACAAGCCTTTCGCGCTTTAAAGCACAAACTCACACATGCACCTGTACTTGCTTTACCTGACTTTTCTAAAACATTTGAAATTGACTGTGATGCTTCAGGTATTGGAGTTGGAGCTGTGTTGAACCAAGGAGGAAGACCTATTGCCTACTTTAGTGAGAAACTCAATGGGGCTGCGCTGAACTACTCAACTTATGATAAAGAGTTATACGCCCTCATTCGAGCACTACAAGTTTGGCAGCACTACTTAAGGCCTAAGGAATTCGTGATACACACTGATTATGAGTCCCTTAAATACCTTAATGCCCAGCACACTCTGAGCAAAAAGCATGCAAGGTGGATCGCATTCGTGGAGTTCTTTCCGTACGTGATTAAATACAAGACTGGTAAGTCTAATGTGGTTGCGGATGCACTCTCACGAAGGTACTCTCTACTCACCTCCTTAGATGCTAAGTTGTTAGGGTTTGAGCTGATTAAAGACATCTATGCACAAGATAGTGATTTCGGTGAACTTTACCTTTCTTGCAAACACACTGGGCAAGGTAAGTTCTTCATTTCCGATGGTTACTTGTTTTATGCCAATCGGCTTTGCATCCCACATGGATCCATCCGTGAACTTTTGGTACGAGAATCCCATTCGGGTGGCCTTATGGGACATTTTGGGGTTGATAAGACTCTTGTCATGCTGCAGGAGCACTTCTATTGGCCGCACATGAGGAGAGATGTTGCATGGGTGGTAGAACGATGCTTAGCTTGTAAGAAAGCTAAATCCAAGGTACACCCGTATGGCCTTTACACCCCGTTACCTATTTCTAGTGCACCGTGGGTTGACATTTCTATGAATTTTATACTTGGTTTGCCTAGATCCAAGTATGGCCATGACTCCATTTATGTGGTTGTTGATAGATTCTCTAAAATGGCACACTTCATCGCTTGTCATAAAACGGATGATGCATCTCATATTGTTAATTTGTTCTTTAAAGAGATTGTGCGATTGCATGCCATTCCTAGGACCATTGTATCTGATAGAGATGTTAAATTCCTGAGCTATTTTTGGAGGACACTCTGGTCTAAGTTAGGCACCAAACTGCTATCCTCTACTGCGAGCCACCCCCAAACTGATGGTCAAACTGAGGTGGTAAATCGTACATTAGGTACCTTGTTGCGTGCATCATCAAAAAGAACTTAAAATCTTGGGAGGAGTGTTTACCTCATGTTAAGTTTGTTTATAATAGGGCTATCCATTCTACTACTGGTTTCTCTCCATTTGAATGTGTTTATGGTTTTAATCCGCTAACACCACTTGATCTAGTGCCATTACCTAGTAATGAGCGCGCACATTTGGATGGTAAGAAACATGCAGAGTTTGTTAAGCAACTGCATGAGAAAGTCAGGGCTAACATTGAGAGAAGAACTGCTCAATATGTCAAGCAAGCTAACAAAGGTCGCCAAAAGTTAATTTTTTAGCCTGGCGATTGGGTGTGGTTGCACATGCGCAAAGAACGCTTTCCTGTTCAAAGGAGGAACAAATTACAACCACGGGGTGATGGACCTTTTCAAGTGTTAGAACGCATCAATGACAACGCCTACAAACTTGACCTTCCTGGTGAGTATGGAGTTAGTGCTACATTTAATGTCTCTGACTTAGCTCCTTTTAATGCAGATGATACGTTTGATTTGAGGGCAAATCCTTCTCAAGAGGAGGGGAATGATAGCATCATGGTACGTGGGCAGGCCAACAATGGCTCAAGTAATCTTAGAGTTGAGGATCACGTGCACGCCCCAAGTGGACCCATTACTAGGGTTCGCGCAAAGAAACTTCGTGAGCAACTCAATGTACTTATTCAGGCCATACACAAGTCCTTTGAAGGATTCATACACTCAAGTGAAGGTGGTCGCGGTCCGATAATGAGCATTGAAGCTACACCTGAGGATTAGGGTTTTGCCAAACCCTAATTTCCGTTTTAGCATCATAGTTAGTTATTTCCACATTAGTTGATTAGATTGAATAATTGGCTAAGTGCATATTGCACGTAGAATCGCCAAGGGTAGGATTGCTAATTTACTCATTATTATTTACTAGAGTGGGCTGCCTAGGAAGGAAAGGCCACATGAGGCCCAACCCGTCGGGAGTTAAGCCTCCCTTATTAGGGCCCATATCCACTGCACCCTTAGTCCATTTTCTACTAGATTAGGGTTTTCACTTGTAGCCTATATAAGGCACCATATTACATCAATAAAAGGTAGACACTTTTATGATAAAAATATTGAGAGAGTTTTCTCCATAGCTTTCGAGCAAATCTTGAACAACTTAGAGTTATACTCTAGTGTTCTTGTTCGGCATATCAATTCAAGAATCGCACTTGAATTGTGGCGCCTTCTACACTTGCCTGAGGTTCACTAATTCGTTTGGTTACGGGTTGAGATAATATCAACAAGTTCGTAGTCACGGGGATTAGAGGGGTCGTAGGGTTTCCGCTGCTACCATTCTTGCGTTCGAAGTCAAATCCAACAAGTCATCTTGGGTCGCGAATCTTCTCACCAACGAGATTCGTATCAAGTCTTCCTCTTCGCACTTCACTTCGCCGCTTCGGTCTTCCTGGTTCCTCTCTCTACAATTGCCGAAATTTCCTTTTCCCCTTAATGGCTTAACTCTAATCCCTTCTCCAAAGTGTGGTGTGGATCACGGTTGGGGAAACGGCGTAGATGACCACTGGTTGGCGGTGCTCGTTGTCGACTGTGGGCTGAAGGTGTGGCTAAGCAGGGTGATTGAGGTGGTGCAGCTCAGCAGCTGCGGTGCAACTGGTGGTTTCTTGATTTTGTGGGAGTCTTTGCTTACTTTAAGTAGAGCTGGACTTGGGCCCTGTAGTTCTCTCCTCGGAGACGGCCTGCCGCCGGTGGAAAAATCCTGTGGATCCATGGTGATGGAAGATTTATCAAGCGATCGATTGGAGTAATTTGTAGAGGGAACTAGGAACTAGGAGTAATTTGTGGAGCTGGACTTGCTATGAATGTGCTGATTTCTGCTTCTATGTTTTGATGTTACTAAGTCCAAACTCCAATCTTGATCCATAGCAATCAGCAAAAAGGAAGCACCGAAGCCTGAAGTTTTTCCGCCTGCTGCTCCGATTCTAAGCCAAAAAAAATTGTGGAATTCAAGCTTATCTACTAATAGTGGAAGTCCAAACTCGTTCACACTTCACACCATCTTCATCAGCTTTTCTCGCAACCCTATCTCAGGTATTTTACTTCATACACCTGCTGCGCTTCTATCTTCTTTTTTCAATACGAATTGGTTTACGGTACTGATATTCGGTAATGAAATTTGCATGTGAAACATGATTCTAATAATAGTCTAATAGTCTTAAGCTTCATTTATTTGGGAACTGAAACTGTCACCAACGAAGGCCAGAAAGCCAGATCAGAATCACACGAAATACATACTGATGCTTGACAAAGTTAACCCTGACCCCTGGAAGCTTCGAAAACCCAGGCCAGATTGTGTCATTAGGCGTACGAAAAATTTTGAATATCTGCAAAACAAAACGACAATGATCTTTAAGGCCACAGAGAAGAAAATTAGCTTGAAATCCATACAAAAATCTACAGTAACATGACAGATGAAAGTTATTTGATGTCTTTAAATCTCTGTGCTATTATTTAAAAGTATATTTGATGTCTTTAAATCTCTGTGCTATTATTTAAAAGTATATTTGATGTCTTTAAATCTCTGTGCAAAACCCAGTTATCTTGAAGATACTTAACACCCTCAAGAAATGCACAAGGCTTAGGGAATTAACTTCACTCGTGCTAAACGGCTGTTTCATTGTCTCCATTAATCCCTTTAGATCTTTTGGTGACAGTTTCAGTTCCCAAATACGAATAGCTTTAATAATTTGTTTCAGTTTGTGTATATTAATTATTTGTTCAGACTAGTTATTTTTAAATATCTCATTTTAGGATGGAGGCTGGTAGCGGTAGTAACTCACAATGTTCACCGGAGGGACCATTCAATAGTAAGGGATCTGCAAGTCAGCCCCAAAGTCATAGGCAAAAGACAGATATAGCATGGGGATATGTTTCTGAGGGCAGAAATGCACAAAGAAGAAAAACCATGACATGCACTTATTGTTTTAAAGTGTTTCATGGGGGTGGCATCCACCGAATGAAGCAACACTTGGCAGGAGTAACGAGCAGTGTTACTTCATGTCCAAATGTTGATCCAGCAGTGAGGCTTTCAATATTAACATGTTTGCAAGAGAATGATAAAAAATCTAAAGAAAAAAGAGGAGATTTTGGGGTCGAAAGTCCTTTTGGTCAACCAGTGCACGAATTTGTCGGTGATGAAGTGCAAGAGGTTCCACCTCCTCGAATAAGGGAAATTTCAATGAATGAGGCTGGTACATCATTAGGTAAAGGAAAGAGAAAAACCACTGCCCCTACAGGTATTCGTGCTTTCTTTAAGGGTGGATGTAATAGTGCTCAACCTACTATCAAAGCTTGTTTGCAAAGTAAGGATAAATGGCAAAATACTGATATGGCCATTGCTCTTTGATTCTATGATGCATGTATTCCCATTAATGCTGTTAATTCTCCATTTTTTCAAAAAGCTATCGATCAAATTGCATCAATGGGCCATGGTTATAAAGCTCCATCTTATCATTCTTTGCGAGTCACTTTGTTGCGAGATGCTAAGAAAGATGTGCAGTTAGTTGTTGATTCATTTCGAAATACTTGGGCTGAAATTGGATGCACTATAATGGGTGATGGATGGAAAGATAGTAGACAAAGACCATTGATTAATTTTCTGGTTTATTGTCCTAAGGGTATATCTTTTATCAAGTCTATAGATGCATCGGACATTGTGACAAATGCAGAAAATTTGTGCAATCTGTTTGTTGAAATTGTTGAAATTGTTGGTTCAAAAAATGTGGTGCATTTAGTCACTAATAATGCTAGCAATTATAAGGCTGCTGGAACTTTATTAAATGAAAGATATCCAACTATTTGCTGGTCTCCATGTGCTGCCCATTGTATCGATTTGATTTTGAAGGATATTGGTGAAATGGGTACTATTAAATCTCTAATGGCTCTTGCTGCTACAGTAACTGTTTTTGTGTATAATCATAAATATGTTCTAAATTGGCTGAGAAAAACTAATGGGTGGAGGGAGATTATTCGTCCGGGGGAGACACGATTCGCCACCACTTTTATTGCACTAAAGAGCTTACATGATCACAAAGACAGCTTACAAGCTTTAGTCACTAGCGGAGATTACAAAAAGTTCTTGAAAATGAACAAAGGAAAAGAGGTCAAACAAATTGTTTAGGATGATAGATTTTGGAATAATTGTTTGATTACGGTGAGAATAATGGGTCCTATTATTCGATTGTTGAGAGTTTGTGACACTGATGAAAGGCCTTCTTTGGGGTATGTGTATGAAGGTATGTTTAGAGCAATTACTGGAATCAAGAAGTTGTTCAGGAGTAGTGAAAGACTATATAAGCCTTACATTGATATCATCAATGACCGATGGGATAGGATGTTGAGGAAAAATTTGCATGCTACGGCATATTTTTTAAATCCCGCTTTTCAATGTGACACTGCCACATTCTCTACACATCCAGAAATTACAAATGGTTTGTTGGATTACATAGAATCAAAGGTGGATTGGTGTAGTGTGGAAAATTTAACAAGAGAAATTGGAATGTATCGAGAGCGGGAGGGAAGTTTTGGCAGAAAACTTGCTATTCTTACTAGCAAGAAAGATAGACCAGGTAATTTATATTTTTCTAGCATTTGAATCTCTCTAATATATATATATATCTAATTTATAAATATTTTGTTTATATTTAAATTTTGAATATGACAGAGAATTGGTGGAAGCTCTTTGGTTGTGATGCTCCCAACTTACAAAAACTTGCAATTCGGATTTTGAGTCAAACAGCTTCTTCTTCAGGATGTGAGCATAATTGGAGTGTTTTTGAACGTATTCATACTAAGAAAAGGAATAGGTTGGAGCATCAAAGGCTCAATGATCTTGTATATGTGCATTACAATTTGCGTTTGCAGTATAGGTATATGTAAATGGTTTATTTTTATAAATGACATTTCATTCTTTTTAAGAAAATATTTTAGTACTAACTAAGTGTATATGTTGTGTGTATATATATATGTTGTAGGCATAATCAGCAAAAGAGATTGTATGATCCCGTTGATTATGAGTCAATTGATAAAACAGAATTTTGGGTGGTTGAAGAAGAACAAGAAGGGGAGCTTGATTATGAGGAGTTAGAGGAAGAGCTTGAAGAGCTTCCAATTCATGGTCAATGTTCAAATTCTGAACAACTTGAAGGTTAGTTTGACATAAATCATTAGTTTGATGCAAAAATAAAGCTAGTATGATATGATATTCAATTGTTGAATATGTATATAATTAAATATGTTGATTTTTTAGATAATGAAGATGAAGCAGAAGATGTTGATTTAGAAACATTTCAGCGTCGAAACTTTTTTAATGATGAAGATGATGATTGGCATTAAATGTTCAAATGGTAATTGGTATAGAATTATTTGTACTCTTTTATTTTTATTTTTAAGATTTGTATCAATTGGTGTGATGAAACTAATATGATTTTATACTTTTATCACTTGTCAGTGATTCATATAATGGTCTTGGATGATGATGATGACTTGTCAAGATGGCTTTTTTTGAAGCTTTGTTGTCCCAGAATTATGAAGAAGATTATAGAAGCTTCAGAAATTGGACTCGTTTGGACTTTTTGATTGTTTTCTAGACTTGTATTGTTTTTTGTTAATTTTAATATTTAGACAATTGGACATGTAAGTTTCATAACTGTGTTAATTGTTGGATAATGCTCTTATATTTATTGTGGTTCAGCATTTATATCTTATTCTGTGCATAGGTGTGTGTCTATATATATATATATATATATATTTATTTATTTATTTATTGAACCCCGGTTAAACCAGTCCGACCGGTTGAATCTCGACCCTTTCACCTCACCGGTTCAATTAACGGCCCGGGTTTAAAAACATTGCTCCAAACAGAATCTGGTGTAGCAAAGCACTTTAATGTTTCATTTCACCCTACGCCAGTTTGGCCCCCAATTTGCTTGAATAGACGTGCAACCCTCATGAAACTGTAGTACTTCCTTTTCACTTGCTCATAATCGTATGACTTATGGCTAAACCTCATGTTCAGCCTATTCCGCACATCCTCAAACACACAGGCATTTATGTTATTTTTAGACAAGTTGCCAACTTCTTTGTGTTCCTACAACAGCTAAACATAATAGCACTCTATTTCGTATTCCCACTTGGCTATGACATTAGAACCCCCACTGTCATTAGTCTTGCCTCGAGCCATCTAAGACGTAAATTCCAATTAAAGTAGTATCAGTGGACCATTAATGGCAATATTGAAAGGCATTAAAAGTCACACAACAAATAGGGTTGTCTTTGAAAAACTTGCGCTGAAGTATGATTGTGGTAGTACTTCAAGCACACCTCTAGGTTGTTTGAGCCACTCTCTGATTGACAACAGTTACTAGTACTAGAACACGGCGTAGGAGAGGTTCCTAAACGATGAGGCTACTGTTAGGGAAAAAAAGGTGTGGTATGTGTAAATGCAACCCAAAGCAATGACATATATATTGCTAGGACAATTTATAGTATGCACCCATGAATACAAGGCAAACGTAAGTAATTCACCTTTTAATTTATGGAGACTCGAAGACATCAAACGGTGTGCAGGCGATCAAAATAGATGCAGCACAGATCAGAGGGTATGCCAATGCCTAGAAGGAATGCAACCAAAACAAAGACGTAGCTAAACAAGCTTTCTGTTGCCAAAAGGTTCAGAACATAAGACGTCATTGATAATATTAACCAACCATCTGGCCTGTTTCGATTAAATTAAACATGAGTTTGGATAGCAATACTAAAAACTTTCTAAAAAACCCATACAGAGGATCCACAACAGGCCCCCGTTTCAATAAATCAAATTACATTCTTGTTATACAATTCCAGTTATGAAAACCTCGACTATTTTACAATTTGGTGACAAGTATTGATACTAATAATGGACATTCATGGCACCCATAATACAATACACACTTCAAACGATATGACCTCAGCAGGGGCGGGTTCAAATGCTAGAATATGACAAACAATGGCATCAAATTTTAGCACAGACAGCTTCATATTTGTGTTTTGAAATGAAAAGATTCATATTGGGAATCATAGAGAAATTTGCAACCCGTAACCACACTCGCGTAAGGGGTACTCGTATGTCAGGGCCCAATCCAAAAAAATGTAGGTACAATATTATCGTGATGTACAGAGAGCAAACCAGCAAATTTTCCTACAACAGATACACTTGGTACACCCAAAACAATCAACAAACAGTTCAGAAATTATGGGGGATTAAGCAGGATAGGGAGCTATGTTTCACGAACCAAAGGGAAATAGCGTAAATGTAGATGCATTCAGGTCCTCTAATGTGCACCCCAAATAAAACGCAAATACAATGCTTACGACTCATCCAATTGGTTAAACAGTGACATCAATTTCTGCAACCAAATAACCACAGCTGGCATGGCCAACCATTTCGGTGGATCCGTACAGCTAACACCAATGTACAAACCCATTCAACAGTACTAATTAGCGAACGCACAAGTTCAGCAGTATGTTTCTCCTCTTCAAGAACAATGCTGCTTTTCGATCTACTAAAAATAAAAGGGCTACGAACCTGGTATGTAGTATCTCCGGCGAAAAAATAAGCCTCCGCCACCGCCATCAGGTAGCAACGTTTGAGCCGCAATAGCACCAAGCTACGGCCAAGCTAAGTAGGCTCTCCCCCGGCACAAACTACTGCCAACCGAGTAAATGGTTGCTAATCTGCTGCAAGACGATAGACAAATCTTGGGATGTGAATGATCCCTGCAATCTCCAAAGAGGAGTGCGTTGAGATGGCGGAGAAGGAAAACAGTTCAAAGGATATGTTTTGAAACAAAAGTTAACCCAAAAAGCATTGATGCAAGATTCCTGACCGTTTACAACAAAGTAATAAAGCGAGGGCCATTAAAAGGTATATGTCTTGTCAGCTACAGTTTGGACAGTCCAAAATTTTTTGTGGGTAATTTCTGAAGCTGTGAAAAACGTAGGGTATTTTCCATTGTAAAAATGTGGGGCCCATCCTGGAGAAAATAGCATTTTCCGGTGGAAATTGCAATCCAAGCAAGCCCTTAAGTTGCTTTAGTTTAAGTGGCTACCATGTGCTACAAAAGTCACTAGTTTGGTTTCTTGGTAATAGCAGTGGGCCCGTGAAAAGACTTATAGTACACTGGACTTTTAAGGAGTATTTGAGGGGTAAATGGATAAATTGAATAGAAATATATTAGCCAATTAAGATAAGCAACAAATATTTTGAAACAATTTAAAAAGGAAAGTATGATAATATCAATGGAATCGAGGGAGTATTTTATTTTTTTCTCTCTTATTTTGGTCTTTTTTCTACTTGTCAATTTTGTTTATATTCTTTTATTTTTCTCCCTTCTCTCATGTGATCAACTACTTTTTTTCTCTTTGCTATATATATATATATATATATATATATATATATATATATATATATATATATATATATATATTAATCTTCCTAAACTTATGCTTTATTTATTTTTAGCTTATTTACTTTTGTTATTGAAAAAATAATGACCATAAAGTCTATTTATACATATAAATTATTTCATACATTACTTAAATCAATATGCCTAAAGTTTAAAATAAATTAATACTTAATAAAAATAGTAGCAATTAATCAAATATACATAAAAAAAGTAAATAAAATTAATAATTACTTGATTTTTGGGATATACTTTTAAATATTAACTAATTTAAAGTTCTTTTTGCTAATATCATTTTAAATATTCAAATTGCTAGTAATATATACTTTTTTTATAAAAGAAATATACATTTTTTATTATGATAAGCATATATCAATTTTTATGTTATACAATTTGTCTTAAATTTTCTAATAGTGTAAATAAATAAAACAAGAATGAAATTATAAGTGCAAAATGATTACAATATTGTAATAAGCATACAACTAGTAATACTAATAGGAAAGTGACACAAAATAGTGACATGAGAGAAGGGCAAAAAAAGAAGTTAGTAAAAAAAGAAAAAATGAAAAATAAAAGAAAGTAGTGGAAAAGAAAAATAAGAGAATGAATAAACAAAAAAAAAGAAAATAGTAAGGACACTTTTATTTTTAAATATCAAATAGGGGGCAAAGTGCTTATTTAATGAGTTCAGGGGGCAAAGTACAACTAAAGGTAAAGTTTAGGAGGGTTTAATGCATTTAACTCATTTTATATTTGTTGGGATAAAATTGACATAGTAATGATAGGGTGGCTCAATTTATTAATTTGTTCAACAGGCACATTTGTCGTTGAGAAGCAAATTTGGATGCCTTGGTTGCTTGCTTGATGAATGAAATTGTATTTTCGACAAAATATTAACATTATTTAGTAGTAATAATAATAATAAAATAAAATGAAATGCTTCAGTATTTAGTTAATCATTCTTGTTTGATTTGGTGGTTGTTTAGTTTCTTGACAAACAAAATTGTTCTTTCTTAAAAAAAAAAAAAGAAAAACAAAGATAATTTCAAACACGTTGGAATAACTTGACTGGAAAAATTAACCAATAAAAAAAATTAACTGCTTGCGACCGTACTTCAAAAATACCTTATTTACTCCTAATACTTGGGGACAAACAACTCTAATAGTCCCTCAACTTTTTCCAATAGTCCTATATGGTGCATCACTTTTTAAAAACTGTCTATCAAGTCCTTAAATTAATGAGTTTGGTTTTAATTGGTGTCCAAAAAAGATAACTTTTATTTTCTCCACTTAGATTTGGTTTAATTTTAGATTGGACCCTCCCCAATTCATGAAGCTAAATTTCCCCTCTTTAGTTGTTTGGATTAATATTGAATTATTGACCAGTTTAATTAACAAAAATGATAAAACAACTCTTTTAGCTAATTTATTCTAAATATATTGTTTTCTGCCATATCTTTACAATAATAAAGTCTGTGTAAGTAGTTAACTTGGTTTTAACTTTATTTGTTTTCAAATTTACCCTTATTTCTATTATCCACTACCCCTTATTTCTATGATCAACTCACACACAAATCCTACTCAATCAAAACTATCTCCCTCCAATTCTCACGATCTTCCCTATGAACACTTTTTTTTTTACTTCCAATTATACACATTTCTGCATGACACACTTTTTATTACATATTACATAAAATAGTTATATTCACTTGCACTATTTTCATGATCCTTTCAATTAAAAATATTTTGACTAGTTTCACATGCATCGAGTGTGCCTTGATATCTAGGGGAAAACAATTTAGGGGAAAACCAACTTAAGCATACAAAAATGCTACCTTTATTACCCCTAATCCCTTTTGGTTTTTTATTTTTTCAAACCTTAATTATCCTTGACTAAACTACTAAGAAAAACTGATTCCTTTTCGGAATATGAATGTATCAGGCAAGGGCAACTGCCGGTCTAACTCAGAAGGCAAAAGAAAAAACGTTTCCAGACTTCCCTTTCTCGAATCGGATTCAGAGATTGTTTCCATGCATTATAAAAAGAGCCCCGGCTGCTATACTTCAACAAAAAAACCTACTTTAGAAGACTGAGGAAACTTTAGTTCTGCTGCTTTTTCACATTATTCTCCAGACCTTATGGCTCCTAAGCAGCATGATTCATCTCTCTCTACCCTATTTCTCTTAGCTACATTAATCTATAACGTTGGAATTGTCGGTTGTCAGATTAAGAGGTCTGAAACTTTTCCAATCTTTGGTGCAACCGGACCAGAGAGTCTTGCCTTTGATCGGAATGGTGGTGGCCCATACACAGGTGTTTCTGATGGTCGAATAATAAAGTGGCAAGCAAACGTGAATCGCTGGGTCGATTTTGCTACAACAACTCCATACAGGTTACTATTCATGCTTCCAACTACGAATATTTCTATTTAGAATCTATGCAACTGTGTTTATTTGTGCTTCGAGCTATCTATGTAACACTTTCACGTAAGCAAAAACTGAAACCCTTCATGACAATCTAAGTCTTTCTGTTTCGTTGCTGAATACGCGCTTATGCATTGGATATTAGTAGATTTTTCCATGTTGGTAGCCAGAGAAACAAGTCAGTGGTTTTATGCAGTTTTTCAAATAGAAAGGATCAAATCCCCGTCTCTCCCCGTTGCTCAAGTCCCACCCCTTCCTTGATGGAAAAAATTTTTAAAAAGAAATATTTCATAGTGAAGCGTCTTGTAGTATATTGGTGAGATTTGACATACTAATATCGTGGATATTTATTATTTTGGAGATAAAAAAATGGCATGATAGTGAATTGGTTCCATCATTCTACAAATCTCTTTAACAAATATTAGGCAAGTTTGGGACTTTTTTCTTATATACTGCTATTATTTGCTAAAATTCTAAAGCTACAATGTTTTCATAAACAGATTTGGTTGTCAAGGTCCGTTTGATCATGTTCTTACAGAGGCAAGATGTGGGCGACCATTGGGGCTAAGTTTCAATCATAGGACTGGTGATCTTTACATTGCCGATGCCTATATGGGTCTCCTAGTCGTAGGTCCTGAGGGTGGATTAGCGAGACCACTGGCTAAGGAAGCTGGAGGAGTTCCTTTCAGATTCACCAATGATGTAGTTGTCGACCAAAACAGTGGTATAGTATATTTTACTGACACCAGCACAAGATTGCCAAGAAGGTAAATTTATATCCTATCTCACTTTTTCTTAGTAACACAAAAGGTTATATTTACCCAGCCTCACTAAAGTACAAGGCAAATGGCTAAAAATTTCTTCACTGAAGATGGGTATATGTATATTAAACTGACATTTTATACTCATTATACCATATGAAATGCATGCCTGAATCTTGATTTATCTGTGTCTTCTTGTGTGTGACCGAGGAAATAATTGATGTTCTTTAGTTTTTTGCGTCTACAAGTATTCGACATCCAATGCTAATTATGATGCTTTGAAATTTCAGTGCATATGCTTACGTGATATTAAGTGGTGACAACTCAGGCAGGCTGTTGAAATATGACCTGAGAACTAATCAAGTGACGGTTCTTATGGACCATCTCATGTTTCCAAATGGAGTAGCATTGAGCAAAAATGGAGATTTCTTACTCGTTACTGAAACCACAAATAGTAGGGTGCTGAGGTATTGGCTTGAGCCATCCAGGGTTGGCACGGTTGATGTTTTCGCAGAGCTTCCAGGAAGGCCAGACAATATCAAAAGAAACCAACAAGGTGAATTTTGGGTGGCGGCTAACTCACGAGATGGGATATACAATCCGCTTGGAATGATAGTTAAACTGAGTCAAAATGGTGACATATTGAAGGTATTAGAGGCTGGAAATGGGGAGACATGGCAGCTTAGTAGCGATGTGAATGAACAGAATGGAAGTTTGTGGATAGGATCTGTAGAAGAATCTCGGGTCGTGAAGATAAAACTCTAAGCATGTATCAGGTGGCATTAATTCTCTCTCACAAGTACTGTATTACTAGTTTTAGTAGCATTTGCTTTGTTTAATTCTCTCTCAAGTACCGTATTAACTCTAAGCTTGTTTCACCTTTGGTAGCATCTTTACTAAATAATTTATGTTTTTATAAGAAAAGAATCAGGCCTGTCAAAAGGCATATATGGTATCTCTAGTTCGAAGCTCCAGCCCCTCTACGGTTTGAAGGGGCTGCAAATTTTGTAGGAGGTCGCCCTCAAGGTGGCACGAAGAGAAGAAGAAAAAAGATGCATGGCCTTTTAGACTTGGAATTATAACATCGCTAGCTAAACATGGTAAAAACAGTCAACGTCCTTCAGAATTGCAATCTCGTGCCTTCTGGGGGAGAAGTCATCTTTACCTACATGAATATATAGAGTAAATATATCAATTTTATGTGATCGAGTTCATGTTTCGCGAGTTGCTTAATTTTCGATAACTTGAAAAGTCTCGTTATGACAAAATAGAACTCTTAATGAAGAAAAAATTGCTGAACATAACTGAGTTGCTACTTCTATGATGCCCTAATCTGTGAAGTTGCGATTATTACTTTGCGCAAGGGAGGGTCCAAAATATTTCAGGATGCAGATGATCAAAACCAACTGTAGTAGAACTGTGGGCAAATTTCTCTGTCTTAGTCATATAAATGCCTTGATGATCTACATTGTCATGATTGAAATGTAGATCGAGGGCTGTTCTGTTTTGCCCAGAAAGCTGGAAAATTATATGTAGTTGGCATATTCATGGCACATTTTGCTTGTCCATATGGAAAAATCAATCTCAGGATCTTGACTTTTAATCCTGCAAAATCTGGGGTGATAGTTAAAGTATTCGAGTCCAAGGGAGTCTTTTCACAGGCATGCTCACGTATAAACTTTCACAGAAATTCTGTAGTAGAGTTGAATATAATAAACCATTTCTCAACCATTCATTATGCTCAAAGGAAAGAAAAGTAAAATATCTTATCAACGTGTTGCAAGTAAGACACTATCCGAACTTAACTAAAACTTGTTTTATTCTACTCAGTTCTCCAAAACTAACTCTGAGTGATACAACTCATGGTTTAGTTTCACCATACCACCAAGTGAACGTGGACAGTTATTCACAGATAAAACAAAGGAAAGAGAGAATGAGAACTCACACACTGAGTAAATAATACTCTGCAATTTAGTACTCACCACCAGTGTGGAACATCCGACAAAATGGCACAGCCGGTTTCGCACTGCAACTGGTCCTTTACAGAAACCAGTTTTTTCTGTTCGGGACTTCAACCCCGTAAGAAGATAACTGATTTTTGAGTTCTGTCGAAGCTGCATCATACTTCGTGTTTGTGAGATCCAATTCTACAAATCCCGTGTCCAGAATGGAATATGTCTGGTTTAATTTGTGCATACTGGAGGCTTAACCGAACATCTGACAAAATGGCACAGCCGAATTTCACACTGCAAGTGGTCCTTTACACAAGCAAGCTATTATTTCTGTTCAGGACTTCAACCCCACAACTAGCTAATTGATTTTTGAATTCTGTTGAAGCTGCTTCATACTGCTTGTTCATGAGACCCAATTCATCCAAATCCTCTGTGTAGAATGGAATATATCTGGTTTAATTTGTGTACACTGGAGTCTTAACCTGGTTTGGCTTTTCCATTGTTATTTGTGATTTTATCCTGTTTAAGCACAACAAAAGATAGATGAGCAATACATGTCAATTTGTAAAAATGATCCTAAGAATACAAAATCATTCGAGCAGAAGCAGGAATTATTAGAGAGAGAGAGAGAGGCAAAATATAAATTTTGATTATATCAGCTATTAGGCGACCTAGTGATGTTTTTCCATATCTCTGGTCAAGTCACTTAAAAAGTTTATTAGCCTATTATTTATCTATTCAAATTTGTGCAAACATGCATCCCTATTCAGATACCTAAACTATCCCAGACACGAAAACTTGACAGGCCTGGATTGTTTACTGGAAAATCAGTTGTATCAGTTTTCCAAGCTTGAAAACTTTGCTATTATCTCCAGTCATTCTAAAAATGAGAAAATAAAATGCGAAGAAAGTGCAGAACCAATGCATTGAATGTGATAAAAAGAATCAGGCAGTTTGATACTGTATTATGGGGAAGCCATCATTTTCAATCTACCGAGGACTCTTCCAGCACATGGAAACAAAAATTTGCAGTAATTAATGATGAAGTCCAATACAAAATATAAGGATCAAATTCTCAGAAAGTAGGAGTGGTATGAAAGACCTTAAGCAGCCATGTTGTACACCATCTTACACTCTGAATGCAGAGCAGCTTGCCATCCTTCACCAGAAGTATGTTTTCATAATGGCAGCAAATGCAGGCCATAGAATCATGTCATTCTCCCACTTCTGCAAAGATGAAGAGCACAAAGAACAAAAGTAAGAGGATATCATGATGTGTACCAAGAAACTGAAGTGCAGAAAACTGCTGAAAGTTGAATCAATGAACAGGTCCTAGTTAAATTCCGATCCTGTCATATGCTTCATTTTTGTTTCACTCAGTTTGAAATCATATCAGGTATTACTTTAATAGGGTGCATTCAGGCTTACCTCATGAAGAGACAGACAAGATAAAGTTAAAAAACAAGAAATATTGCTTGAATTCTTATCTATCTACAGATACATTATCAGTGACAAAACAGTCTAGATACTTCCCTTTCCATATTGAAGAGCAAGCGGCTGAGGACAACGAGATCTATTTTTTATCTTATCAATTTTTAAGAGGTGATGCAGAAGTGATGGGTGTAACTGACTGATACAGCAGATTTCTTTCTGAGTTCAGAAAGGGAAAACCTTTGCTTGGAGAAGAGTTTATGCTCGTCATTCGGAATTGTGTAATACATGCTGGTCTTCACATGTTCAGTAAAATTTGGTAGTTCTGAACAATGAACATATACATCTTAGCACATTTTTTCCTTTTTTGGACATGATTTTATTAGCATTCAAATGAGATTTATATGGACTGCAACAATTGCAACAAAAATGGAACTTTTTCCAGATCATGAATATATCAATTCATTAATTCCATTACGCAGAGTCTAAATGAATGATACACAACCTGCCAATGCTTATGTTGCTTGCCTTTCCATGCCTAAATTTTTCTTGTCAGCTTTTTTTTTTTTTTTTTTTTTGTTTTTTTAACTGACATAGACTGTCACTTGAGGAGACCAACATACAAAATTTTGAACTTCCTTGTTTTTGCCCTTTTTCCCTCTTTTGATGTGGATCTAGGCATATATCCCTAAGAAAAGAGCAAATGTTCCAATACATTGAACTTAAAAGAGCGTCGTGCAACAAAATTATTTTTGTTTTTGTCTTTGGGAATGAAAAAGAGGACTTGAGGTCTAATCTTTGATCAGCTATCTGTTCCACTAAGAAAGGGACTATATTTGCAGCCTTTTATATTCATTTCAAGCCCCTCAAACAACAATACAATTCTTAGTGGTAATGATGTTATTTTCTTAAGACATCCTAGGAGTTAAAGGCACAACTTTTAATGCACAGAATAACTGAATTTGCTGTAGATGTATGACAACAATCCTTTATAACAGAAAATCAGATATGCAATGAAAAGACTACAAGCCACAGTTGTAAGATACCCTTAAGTTGGACAGGAATCTTAATAAGTCAGTCACCAATTCAGCCAAGATCCTCATTGCACACCACTTAATGGTCTTCAACCAACTAATCGGCCAATCTGATATGTTTAGGGCATTGCTTCTACCAGGGGATTGAGTCCCAAATCAATCTGTAAAAAGCACTATAACTACATAGTAGTGGCGTCAAGAGTAGACTATCAACCTAAGAGATATTTTCACTAGAAAAATGTGCAGTCCTGTTATAAAAAGATAATCTATCAACTGATTGAACCATGCTTTTTAGAAAAATTGAAATCTAATACCCCTTACACATATCAAATCTGCGAAAAATCTTCCCATTATGTAAATTGTTGTGCGAGCGGGCCAAGAAAGCTGGTTGAATGTTTATATTTTATAACCCAAATCCCAAAACCAAAATAATTGCAACAAGCACAAAATTTTACCGCTTTGATCCTCTGACCTTCACACCTACAGAACCTAGCACTCTTCTGATTGTTCTCGAAGTATACTATCTACTTACCGTAATCCCTGAACCAGAGATAAACAAGATAATGTTGACCAAAAACAACAGCTTACCAAGCCATTGACTGATTCATGTAAATCCCCTCATCTTCTGACCATAGTTCTCAAATCATTTGCATATTTCTTTGAATCAATGAAGTTCCAAAATAAAGAAAGCACAAAGGCGGAGAAAGAGAGAAACAGAGGAATTATGATTGCAATCTCCAAAAGTACTATCTTTATTTATTAGTTAGCATCTGAAGGCATTCAGTAACTCACTCTTTGTGCAGCTAGCTGGGAATTAGTCATCAGCATCATATAACAATCATATGTAAAACTCTTTTTCCAATTTGCAAAGCAATTATTTAGAGGTGGATATGGAATTAATATACAGTAAAGCATGGTTGGATTAAAAAGAAAAGGGAAAAATTTTCCTTTTATCTGGACTTTGGGCACAATGCATAGAACCTCATAGGACTGGGACATAAGCATATATAGAGAATGGAAAGGGAAAGGCGCTCACAAAATGAGAGACTGCCACCAAATTCTTCCTTTCCTAGCTCAGACAGAATACTTTATATCAATATCAACTCTTGAACCACTTAGTGATGCCAGCTTCCAATCAGCTTTACTTCTGGGGAAAAGCCAATTCAATTTGTAAAATTATGAAAGATTTTTGTACATTTTCAATTTTATATACTAACATAAGTAAGAAAATGCGATTATGATAAGAAAACAGCAGACAAACTAACTCAGACCAGATAGAAATAATAGTCGAAAGAATAAGAAACCAGATAAAGATTCTGCAACAAACTTCAACTTTCATGCCAGAAGA